CAGAAATATATATATATATATTTCTAAAGACTAGACCATATGAGAGAAGGTAAAGAGATTTTTTTTCTTGACCTTGGGTTTTATAGTAATCCTTGCCACTGTTCAGTGAATGTGAAGGGATTACTAGGTGCAGGCTGAGGCTTTCCCATCCTCTCCACTGCATGAACCACACCTCTGTCATTGCTGGAGAATACAAACTGCCCAACTACAGACATAAAATCTGAACAGTGTGCAGAATAAACTAACAAATGTATTTAGGTGTGGCTGAGTAAAGGAGTCAGAACATGAAGAACATGGTAGCAATCCCAGCATTTGGGAAGCTGAGGCAGGAGGATCCTGAGGATTACCAGCCTGGGCTACAGAGAAAAACCTTATCTCAAATAATAATAATAATAATAATAATAATAATAATAATAATAAAAACACATACACAGAGAGTCAGCTTCCATATAGAGTAATTTTGTCTTGTGGTGCATGAGATCCCCCGCACTGCATACTCATTTCTGAGTATCTTTCTATAGGCCCAGACGATTGGAGAAAAGTACTTGGCAGTCATGTTTAGCCTCTATTTGCAGTGAGTTAGCTACTGTGGGTCCCTGTATGGGTCTGTATTCAAGAATTTCATACAAAGAGCTGAATCTTCAGTAACTGAGAAGGGGTCTGGCATTTTAAGTCAGTAACACATTATTGACTGGCAGCAACTATCAATTCCTGAAGCTAGTCATTGGCATCTGGGCCATGCAGTGAGAACTATATCTCCACAGTGAGCAGTTCAAGACGCCTATTGGATGGCAGGACCTAACTGGAATCTCAGTCACCTATCTTAAGCAAGTATTAACAAGGAAGTGTTTCCCTATGAAATCTTGGATCCTAGTTAGGTTTAGGCATGTGACTATACTGCCTTTCTAACTCTCCCTTTAAGAACTCAAATTTCTGAGGTCCCCCTCGAAAACTTTCCATGCTAGACACCCTGGGAGACTTTAAGAACCAACAGCCATAAACCTGCCACACATGATGCCTTTTACTAGACAAAGGTTAGTTTCTTTTTTGCCTGACAGCACCACAGCTTATTCGGTTTACATGAGAAATTATATACAAATGTGTACATAGGTAACAGAAAAACAAGACTATTACAGGTAATCTATCTTCATATAGGATATATCTATCTTCATATAGGATACTCACTAACCAACCTGAAGATGTGGAAGAAACCAGCTCTGAGTTTTCTGTTTTTATCAAATGTGCTGCTCGCATTCTATACTGGCTTAATTCATCAACGGGGCACTCTCGATGTCATGAGTCATATTCAGAAAGTCTGTCCCAGCGGGCCTGATCAATCTTCTGCCTCAGTTTTCATAATGATGCCCTGTCACTCCACTCCCTACTACAGGTAAGGAAGATGGTTGTGCAAGTTCCAGGCTAGCTGGGGCTACAAGGAGACCCTATCTCAAAAATAAATAAATAAACAAATAAATAAATAAATAAATAAATAAATAAAATCCCTCCTCAAACAAGTCACTTAAGAATAGGATTCCTTTTTAGAGTAGAAAAGTAAGAGTGCTTTCTCGTTTACAACAAGTTTCCAATTTTGCCATAGCTGACAGAGACTGTGTACTGAAAAGGAGCCACCTGGTCCTGAAGACCATTTAGCTAGAGAACACCAGTCCCCCACTGCCAACTGGCCTGTGTGAGAGCAGCTGCTGCTCTGGGTTGGGCTCGTAGGTTGTGCTGCTGCTGCTGCAGGTAATCCTGCTTCATGTAGGATATATCTATCTTCAACTGGCCTGTGTGAGAGCAGCTGCTGCTCTGGGTTGGGCTCGTAGGTTGTGCTGCTGCTGCTGCTGCAGTCATGATCATCTTTAGTAAATGCACTTAAGGTTGGCTTTGGTCACCTTAATTTATGCAGTGAGACTTCTCATTTTTTTAATAATTTTATATTTTTATGTACATGAGTGTATTGCCTGCATGTAAGTGTACCCGTGTCATACAATGCCTGAAGAGAGCAGAAGGATCAGATCCACCCCCACCCCAGAACAGGAATTACAGAAGGTTGTTAGCTCCCATGTGGGTGCTGGGACTCAAACCTTGGTCCTCTGCAAGAACAGCCTGTGCTCTTAACCACTGAACCATCTCTCCAGTACATATTTTTCACTTTGTTAAATATACATCTTAAAAGTAGTAACAGCTCAGTGTGGGGCACTCCCCTTTAATCCCAGCACTCAGAGTCTCAGGAAGCAGAAGCAAGTGAATCTCTGAGTTGGAGACCAACCAGGGCTACACAGTGAAACCCCATCTCAAAAACAAAATAGTAGGAGCCAGGCATGGTTGCTTTCTGTTGCTGTCATAAAACACTGACCAAAAGCAGCTTGGTGAGGAAAAGGGTTATAGTCCATAATCAAAGGAAGCCAAGACAGGGGCTAAAATAGGTACTAAAGCAGATACCCTAGAGGATTGTTCAGCTACCTTTTTTTTTTCCCCCTTACATTTCTACTTATTATGTGTATGAGCATATTGTTTGCATGTATGTTCGTGCACCCGAGTCATGCAATGTCCATGAAGGTCAGAAGTGGGCACAGGATTCCCTGGAACTGGAGTTACAGTAGGTTGTTAGCTGCCTTGTAGGTGCTGAGAGCCCAGATCCTCTGCAAGAGCAGGTGGTGCTCATAACCACCGAGCCATCTCACCATCCCCTCAGTTATCCTTTTAATATTTTATTTTAATTTTATGTGTACAAGTGTTAAGGTCAGAAAAGGGTATCAGATTCACCTGGAACTGGAGTCACAGACAGTTGTTAGCCACCATGTGGGTGCTGGGAATTGAACCCTGGTTCTCAGCAACGAGCAGTCAGTGCCCTTAACCACTGAGTTATCGCTCCAGCCCAGGCCCACCTGCCCAGAGATGCCCATGGGCTCAGCCCTCCCACATCAATTAGCAATTGAGATAATGCCTCACAGACATGACCACAGGCCAATCTGATCAGGAAAATTCTTCAATTAAGGTTTCCTCTTCCCAGATGGCAATATAGTTTGTGTCAAGTTGACAAAAATTAACCAGCACAGTGGCATACATATGAAATCCCAGCCCTTGGGAGGCAGAGGTAGGAGGATAAGTATAAGGCCAGCCTGGTATACATAGTGATTTCAAGCCCAGCCTGGACTTCAGAATGAGACCATGTCAAAAAGAAAAAAAAGTACCATGAAAACTTTCGTTATTTTAAACCTCTTGTTTAAAGGTTACATGAACCTGTTCTTGTAACTATCATAACTTTTCTTCCCACAGCCATGTTCACTGTCCACTATCGATGCGATTTCTCCAGTGTCCCCCAGACTTGACTGGAAAAACTCAGTATCTTGATGAAGCAGATGTATTTTACCTAAATCCTTTAAACTGGTTACATCAAGAGTTTCTCAGCAACACTTCGCTCCCCACTCACTTGGTCATCTTCAGTGTTCTGGAGAAGGTAGGTCAGCATGATGAGGCAACTCAGCATTTTATTTCACCTGCTTCTTGATCCCTTCAGCCCATTTTACTGTTTTCATATTTGTGGACATGACAAGAAGCAACTTAAGGGAAGATTTATTCTGGCTCATAGCAGGGAAGACATGGTGCTGAGGTGTGAGCAACTCTTTGGTGGAGCTAAGATGGAGGAGCATGAATCTGTTCACCTCTCCATGGAACAGGAGCAGAAAAAGGGAATGTCAGCATTAGCCTGCTCTCTCTCTCCTTTTTTTATGCAGTTTGGGACCACAGCCCATGGAATGGTGTCACCAATGTTCACGGCAGGTCATCTCTCCCCTCAATTTAATTCTTTCTGAAAAAACACTCTTCATTTTTAAAGAATGTATTACTTTTGTGTATGAGAGTTCACCTGCATGTGTGTATGTACAATGTGTGTACAATGCCTGTGGAGACCAGAGGAGAGTGTAAGATCCCCTGGAACTGGAAGGTTCTTGAGCCACTATGTGGGTGCTGGGAATCAAACCAAGATCCTTTGCAAGAGCAGCTGTCTCTCCAGCACCGCCTCAACCTCATTTTTTGAGACTGGTCTATCACTCAATCTGGAGCACACCAGTGGCTAGATTAGCTGGGCAGCAAGCCCCAGGATCCTCTTTTCTCTACTCCATCCACATAGCCCCTACACAGCCAGCAAGCCCAACTTTTTATGTGGGTGCTAGGGATAGGACCTCAGGTCCTTGTGCTTGGGAGGCAAGCACTTGACCAACTGAGCCAGCTCACCTTGTTTCTTAGTCCAATTAAGTTGACAAAAATTAATGGTCAGAGCCCCATATTCCATAGTTGGTCTTCCCCCCAGTAAAACCAGCCCTAGTTCTGTAAATACCTAGTTATGGTTTAGTTACCATAAGTTAATTCTTTCACTGAAAAATCTTATTTTACAGGGCTGGAGAAGATGGCTCAGCGGTTAAGAGCACTGACTGCTCTTGCAGAGGACCCAAGTTTGATTCCCAGCACCCATATGGGGGCTAACAACCATCTGTAACTCCAGTTCCAGGGGATCCAATGCCTCCTTCTGACCTCCGAGGGCATTGCACAACATGGGTGTACTTACACACATGCAGGCAATATACTCATACACATTAAAATCAAAGGAAAATCTTGTTTTACTAAGAAAAAAGTTGCTGAGAAATTATAATTTGTAATTCTACAAATTCCTTGAAACGGTACTTGGCGAAATATAGCCTTTATTAACTTAAACATGTTTACTTCTAGGAAATCCATGCTTTCCTAACTTCAGGAAACTACAAGAAGACTGCTGTTTTCTTTCACACTCACTTGCCCGAGGGTCGAACTGGAAGTCACATACATGTCTACGAACGAAAGCTAAACGGAAAACTCAACACAAGATGAAGAAGTGTTTTTCTGCATCTAGGATGCAGGCAAGGTGACAACTGTAGGTTCACACTTCAGTCAACACCAAATGATGCATGGAACCAGCAGTGAGCCTCTGTGGACAGCTTTACCATTATAATGATCACAAAATAGAGACGAGCACTATTACACAATGCCAGCCTTAAAATAAAGCCTTTAGTTTTCTTCACGGTGTAGTTTTTATTGTTTCCTCCATAATATTCGGATGTGCAAGACATTTCACAAGAACAAGTCAGCAAGTTCGTAAGAGGGCAGCAAATTCTTCACAAGCCAACAGGCTCTTGAACCCACAAAGACAAAAGTGTAAGAGTATAAGACATTAGAGGTGAGGTCCCATCAAGCTACTCTTCAAGCTCTACTGCAAACCTAGCACTTACTTACAGTCTGCCATGTGTGATCTGAGCTTGTTTAAAAGTTCATATGCTGAAACAAATTCTTATTTCATGCACAGAATCTATTCCATGCCTGGCTTCCTAAATAAAACTACCATTTCTTCCCAGGGCCAAAAAAAATTTTTCTTAAAGCAAAGCTAAGCTACAGGAAAATGCATGTTAGTAAGCTTTGCTTTTGCATAACATAAAGCCATCAAGCCAGTCTTTTAAAAATGGGGGGAAACATCATAGTCATCTTGATAACATCTTAATTTCAACACCAAACAATGTAGAAAACATCCACATGTCTCTAATTTTCTAGTTAGTTGAACTTAATCATGAATCAGTATTTAGGATCAAAAGGTAACCGCCCCAATTCTATCTCTAGACTTGCCACGTGTCCTCCATTAGCGCGACCTTTCTTGTGCCATTTACCTTCCCTTTTGTGCGGCTGTGGCCGAAGCTGCTTCTGTTCTTGTTTTCGACGCCTGGAGTTTTCAATATTTACCATATGCTGCTTTTTATCAGGTCGACTGAAAGTAGTAAACACATTTTTCATCTATGTTAGAGTTCAATTTGCTAAAAGTAAAAAATACTTTTTTTCCACTAATCTATCTGAAAACTGCAAAATTATGAAATGTAATTTTTTTTTTTTTTTATCTTTTTGAGACAGGGTCTCCCTGTAGCCCCAGCTGGCCTGGAACTCACTATGTAGATGAACTGCAATCTTTAGGCATCCATACCAGAAGAAGGGGGAGTTCATTGAATTTTTTTTAACTCTAAAGAAAAAAGACAACTGTGCTGGCAAGAAACAGAAATTATGAACAGATGATTGGGAATAGAAATGTGACAATAAAATAATGAGATGTGTTTCTGGTTTTCTTCCTTTCCATAAATAAAATCCATCTCCAGTATCTTTATTCCTCAGCCAAAATATATACACATCTCTTACAAAGAAAAACACAGCCTCTAACTTTTTCCCTCTTGAAGCACAAGTTCAGTAGACAAGCTCTCCTGTCTCTGTAGTCAGACCTCAATACTTGCCACAAAGACCATGATGTCAACCATGGCTGCCCAGTTCCCAAGCCAAGAAATACTTCCTATCTTCAACTTTAAGTATCTGCCACACGTTTGGGTTCTTAGATGTTATTCTGCACTTGTCTCAGACTTCTCTACAACCCCATGGACACTACCCTGGAGCCTAGTGCTTCCAATGGAGATTGACTTCACAGCACAAATGATTCTGTGAAACTAATTGCCACTTGAATGTCAACAGGTACTTCCAAAACCAATTCTCTCTTCCAATTTCTCTGGCTTAGAACTTTCATCTGGTAATCTGAGTAATATTACCTCAACTCTTGTTACTTTCTACTTCTTACACAGGGAATAACTATTTTACCATTCATTGGTTTAGTGTCTCTTGCTCTGTCTCCTACTTCCCACTTCTGATACTCATCCCTGCAAGATGCGTAGCTTCAGACTTTCCAGCCAACCCTCCAGGCTACTGCCAGTCACCTAAGAAGCTAAATATAATCCCACTCTGTGGTAAAACCCATAAAGTCTCTGGGAGATGTGACCTTCAAGATCTGAACCTTAACTCACCCCCAGCACTCCTCTGCTTCCATAAAGGAGTGTGTCTTCATAGGTCCATGCTTTGCAAATGACCTTCCTTTGTGTGGGATGCCCTCCCCTATCCACAGAGCTAATTCTCATTTCTCTTTCAAGAGCTACTTTCAGAGCAAATTTAGATGAAAGGCCACTTCAGCCATGAAGCCTTTCCAAACATCTCCAGATCACTGAGGCTTCCCCATCTTTGTGTCATTTACTGTATGCCTGGCTTGTGGGCAACTGCAAAGAATCTTTCATGTTTCCTCAAAGCAGCTTCCTAACACTTTGCTCACCACAGCACTAAGTATCTGCTTTCACAACTAAAGACACCAAAATTCAGTCTCATTATTTTATAGGCACATTGCATTTATTTATAAAGATGTAACTATATGAATCTCAAAGGTAAAAAGCTATTATTTAACATCAGGACATTTTCACATTACAGAATAAAAAGCTGATAAACAATGAATACAATGTTTTGAAGGACATGTGTTAGAACTTATGGCCTGACTTTGCCTCTGATCATTCTATTACTGGTCTCTACAATAAGCCTGCAGGAGTACTACATGTAAGTTGTCACACAGAATGGACAAATGAAAATTAGCGGGGCTAGAACAGTATATACCTCTTTGGATTTCATACTAAAATCTGTTTTCACTTCTAAAATAAAAGATTAAAGGGTTACTTAATTGTATCATATAAGCTACACTGAAAGAAACCAAATTGGCTCGAATCAATTTATATGTCCTTAACTAATTTTTAAGATAGAAATTAAATCATTTGCTCAAGTCCAAGTGATTATACTACATGAAGTTTTCAGTTTGCAACTGTTATAATTTTTAAACTGTCTTTCAATTTATTCTGAATTTCAGGGGGCAATAAACCATGTCTCTTACAAATAGTAGCCTTTAAGAAACTCATAATAACAATTCTATCCATATACAACTGTTAGAAGCTATTATAATCACACGGTTTTATGTAAACCGACCTGGGTCCATATGGTAGGGGGAAAGTATGACCAAAGTGTCCATAAACATATCCATCCAACTTCTCCAACACTCCATCAACATCGACTACTTGATATTCCTTCATGTCCTTAAGATAACCTTTTACATCGCTAACAAAGTCGGTGAAGAGCTTCTGGTCATGTCTAAAGACACCATTCAGGAAAAACTTACTGATGAACTCATCCAGTTCTTTCCAATGATGAAAAGCACCCAGCTCATTCACTAAGTACTTTTCAATTAGCCGTCTGAATTCATCTATCCTCACAGGACGCAGTATATTAAAAGGCCTAATGGATTCCTGATGAGCACATTCAAACACACCCGAGCAAGCCCTTCTGCAAGAATGGGTTTCCCCATAGTTATGCTCAGAGTTGCACTTCTGTGAATTTGCATTTTTTCTGAATTCTTCAAAGTGCCTGGGCTTTTCCCTCCTTCCGTTCCTTTGCACAGCAGGGCCCCTGCAATTCTGGTTTTGTGTAGACACTTTATGCTGTGGATGTAAAAAGTCACCAAAAACTGTTCTTGGCTTCTCAGCTGCCTCTTCTCTTGTAGCACTGAATCTTTTATTGCCCTTTTCATCAAAGATATTCTTGGTGGTATCTTTGAAATGTCGGAACGTGGACTTGACAGAATCTGAGAACTTCTTAAGGTTTTCCTTCACAGCTTCTTTCGCCTGCTTAATTTTTTCTTTATGGTGTCTCACAAACTCCTTGGTAGAATTCTTCATAGCATCAAATGTCTCCTTAACTGTTCCCAAAAACGTTTCCTTGGACTTACTCTTGGCCCTGTGGTTTCCTCTGCCTCCTTTCTTCTCTCCATCAGTCTTTTGCTTTCCATTTTGATCTTTCGCCTCAACATACAGTCTTTCCCACAAATCCGAACGCTGCTGTTCAAAGTTTAGTTTCTGTTCCAGCTCAGCGAGTCTTTGCTGTAACAGTGCCATTTCCCTTTTTTCCGTCAGTACATTGGGAGAATCTAAGCGATCCTGAGACTGACTGGGGCCCAGCTGCTCGAGTTTTGCCGTCAGAGCCATCGCTAAGAGTCGTTCCTTCTCCAGGTCCCTCTTCAGTATCTTTGTTTCCTCCAACAGCATTCCTCTTTCAGTAAAGAAGCTGTCTGCCTTCTGTTTCTCCACTTCTAAATGCTGCTTAAGTACCTGGTTTTCCTTAATTAACACAGTGCTTGACCCTTTATCTTCTGATATCCTAATCTGCTCCCTCAGTTGCTTTAATTCTTCCTGCAATGATAACACAGCTTTTTCTTCCTTCTCCAGAGACATTCTTAAATACTGATTTTCGGCAGCAAGGTTATTTTTCTGAGTTTCAAAGGAAATTTTCTCTGCTTCGGTAAGGGTCCAACACCTTGCAAGGTTTTCTTTCAATGACTAAAGGTTTTTTATTTTGAAAGAGAAGAGAAATGTCAAGTGCTTGGAAAGTTCAATTTAAATCTTTAACATGTAATAAACACCCCATAACCTAGTGCCTTCCCATATAAACATACATACACATGCACACACACTGTCCTCTGGGTATTGTTAAACAGTATTAAAAATTGGAACACGAAGGCTCCCTGCCACTTGCAGTAGACAAAAGGGGTGACTTTGCAGATCAAAAGCAGAGCATGTGCCCAGTAGATACAAGCTCTGGGTTCAATATTCAGTGTAACACACACATGTACACACAGACAGACTGACAGACTGCACCTGTTTATAAGTTAGGAAGAGGGAGGATGGCCCTTCTATCTTTTATCTACAGGACGATGTCCTGAAAAGGCTCCTAGATTTTCTGGCTGGACATGTGGCTCACGCATATAACCCCAGCACTTGAGAGACTAAAGCAGGACTGCTGCAAATTCAAGGCCAACCCAGTGCTGCACAATAAGACCTTGCTAGGTAAGTAGGCTATCCCTGGATAAGACCCTCAGCCTCTCAGCTATTATTTAAGTAAAATTTTTTAAGGTATCTTTGGGCCTGCAAGACAGCTCAATAAAGGTGATTGCCTTGCAATGTGCATGCACACACAAGACAAATTATAAACAACAAAAATGAAAATCAGATCTTTGAAGTTTGATACTTGGAATCAAATTAGATCTGCTCGTTAACCTTTCTGAACCTCTATAAAATGAAACAGATTAATTGCTTCATTCACAGGATTGTCAGAAAAATTAGAGTAACTGATATAAAAATTACTAACGTAGCCAGGCATGGTGGTGCACGCCTGTAGTCCCAGCACTCGGGAGGCAGAGGCAGGCGCATCTCTGTGAGTTCAAGGCCAGCCTGGTCTACACAGTGAGTTCCAGGACAGCTGGGCCTACAGGGAGACCCTGTCTCAAAAAGACCAAAAAAAAAGACTAACAAAACAGTTATGAATGTTATTTTTAAATTTGTATGTGTGCATGTATTTGGGGGGTGGGACACATACCTAACATGGCATGCTGATGGTGGTAGAGCGACCAGGGAACAACCTGCAGGGCATGGTTCTCTCATTCCACCATGTGAGGCCTGGGGAATCTAACTCACATTCAATCAGGTTTGGTGGCAAATGCTTTTACCTGATCAGCCATTTTGCTGGTCCTAATTATTTATTTACTAATTTTCACTGTACTTGTATTTACATAGCTCAACTACTGACTTTTTCTTTGTTTTGTTTTTTGAGACAGGGTCTCCCTTGCCCCTGGCTAGCTTGGAACTCACTATATATACCACTCTAGCCTTGATCTTACAGAAATCCCCCTGCCTTTGCCTCCAGGGTGCTGGGATTAAAGGCATGCTCCACCCCACCCCCTACTATTATTATCCCACTCCACCTCACCAAGCCCTATTATTATACATCACTAGTAGAAGCAGTAGTAGTAGTAGTAGTTATTGGCTTTTTAGGCAGTGTTGCTAGGTAACCCAGGGTGGCCTTGAACTTCAAGTGATTTGCTTGCCTCAGTCTCTCCAGTGTTACAGGTATGTCCACCACATCTAGCTCTAACCATTATTTTCATATTACTCTGTTATTATTTAAATTTTAATACTTACTGTGGGATCTACAAAAGACTCTTGTTCCTGTTGGCACTGAGAGAGATAATTCTTCACATCATTCAGTTCATCCTCATGGATCTTCCTGACTAAATGCTGACGCTTCTGAATCTGAATTGTGCCTAAAATGATCAATTATTATATTTAGCCTGGATGCCAATATTTAAAAATACATTCAACACTGAATCTCCATATAACTACTTAATTTGGGTAAGATCATTATTTTAAAACCTCATGATAGTGGATCTTCTTGGTAACCCAGGTCAAGTGAGTTAATTTAGTTGGCATACATACAAGAACATTTAAGCAGTCTAGAACCTGTTACTCTAACAGAAATTTGTGCCTCATCTTGCTGTGTTGAAGGCACTCAGCTGTGCTCTGAGGATATCTAAGTACATAAAGTGTCTCAAACCTCACTAAACTGAGAAATAAACCAATAGTTTTCTTCCTACAAATTGAAAGCCAAAACACAAAAACTAAAATGTATGTCTCTAATTTTCTGCCTGCATGAGATAACACAAACCGTAAAAGTATAGCATAGTAAATGTCTAATTATGAACACTATCATTCTCAAACTCAAACCATTTTATAATATACATGTTAGGGGGGTTACGTACATGTGTGTCATGGCCCATGTGTAGAGGTCAGTTGACTCTCCTTCCCCATGTGGATCCCAGGGATTGAATTTAGGCCATCAGTCTTGGCAGGAAACATCTTTACCCACAGAGCTATCTTATTTGCCCTCAAAGCCAAATCTTTTAAGCATTCTGCATGGTGGCTAGGGATGTAACTCAATGGTAAAGCCCCTAATTACCATTACCATAGCCCTGAGTTCAGAGTTCAGCACCCAGTACCACAAACAACAGATTAATCAGTAATTCTGCAATGGTTAAATCTGTCCTTATTTGTCAAGGATAAAGTAAAATTACAAGAAAGAAAAGAAAAGAAAAGAAAAGAAAAGAAAAGAAAAGAAAAGAAAAGAAAAGAAAAGAAAAGAAAAGAAAAGAAAAGAATATTCCCTAAAAATGTTAGTTTGCCAAGACAGTAATTTACATGCTCCTACAATGCTTCATACACAAGAAAAAAATACCACTAATCCGAAAATACAGCAAAACACATCAGGCAACCTAACATCTAAAAGGATATATAATAATAAATCATTTTTAATTCTTCAGTATCTTGAAAATCACTTCTGAACATCGATTAACATGGGGCTGGAGACAGGGTTAGCAGTAAGGCCTCCATCACCAGACGTGGCTGCAGAACTCCCAGTTCTTCCAGTCCCCTGTAACTTCTTGTACTTTTCCCTCTTGTTTACTGTTAGTTTGCTCAACTGATAAAACTTTCCCACACAGTAACATGTCACATACTCCACTTTTTCTAAACATTTCTTTTCTATAATCCTACTACTCCAAAAGTAAGCAAAGGTTAGACTCTCAATTCCTGGGATGCTCTACTTTCCCTTCTCCTGTCATAAACTTACTAAGTCTGACCCAACCTAACCAAATGTCAAGAATGACTCCGAAGACCTAATGTAGCCTGTGCCATATCACTTGTCCTGTGCACATGTGCTATACTGTCTGAAGAGCTGAGCAGCCTATCACCCCTTCACCATCACTTTGAATGTGGATGACTCTAAGTCAGGAGAGGAGTAAAAATGGTGACCTACTTCATGCATTCACTTGCATGTGGCTTTCTTTATCTCAACTTTTGTCTTTTTCCAATTTTTTAAATTTAGAGGCATTTTCAGAATGCCCCTACAATCCACTGTTCTGCTGTTCCACACTCTTTCAGTCTGATGAGGTACCCCACATTTTAAAGAGCTAGTGAGTGTTTTATTTATACTGCAAATGACACTTATAGACACAATCTAGGTGAATGGAAAATTCAAACTGGCTGAGTACAAAGCTCACTGCCCAATTCAGGGAGGAAAATTCTGTCCCGAGTAGAGGTACCGAGGTCATTCAGGCCAGGCCTCAGATTTCAGTAAACCATCTCAGTGCTATACAGACTTCCTTCACATACTGCACCATCCAGGGCTTTCATGTTTTGAAAAGGCTAATAGTTTGATTTTGTTAAAGCAAATTTTCCTTGTAACCAAAATCCTAACAAGGACAGAAAAATCCTTGGTTTTTAAAGTACTCTCCTCTAACTACACTTTCTTTTTTAAAAAATATTAGTTTTGGGGCTGGAGAGATGGCTCAGCGGTTAAGAGCAATGACTGCTCTTGCAGAGGACCTGGGTTCAATTCCCAGCACCCACATGACAGCTACGAACCATCCTTAACTCCAGTTCCAGGGGAATCCAAAGCCCTCTTCTGACCTCCGAAGCATTGCACGACATGGATGCACTCACATACATGTAGGCAATACACTCATACACATAAAATAAAAATAATAAACAAAATATTTTTAAAAATATTTATTAGTTTTATTTTCTGTGGATGTGTGTATTGCCTCCATGTGTATCAGTGTACCCGTGTCTTGCAATGCCCACAGAGGTCAGAAGAGGACGCTGGATTCCCTGGAACTGGAGTTACAGATGATTGTGAGCTGCCACTGGGTGCTGAGGACTCTTACAAGAGCAGCAGGTGCTCTTAACTGCTGAACCATCTCGCCAGCTTCTCTAACTGCACTTTCTAAAATATATTCAAAGTCACACAAATGGTGAGATTTCAATGCAGTCTGTATTAATAATAAAAGTCACTCTCCAATTTTCTTTTTAGTAAGAAAAAAAAAGATTTAATGCCTTCTCCCTTGTTTCCTTAATGTTTACCTGTAAGGAGAAAAATCATACTCAAAACCACATTGACATATTTGCTTCACAAAGTCAGTGATATGAAGGGCACTTCACAGCAAATCTCACTGCAGCAAAGTTCACAGGAGGCTCTGAATAAGCACCTCAACATTCAATCCAACCAGGCTTCTCCCAAGAATCCAAAACCTACTTGAATTAACACCACGTTGAACACAGGAAATAACACATTTAATTTACTCTGACTTTAACAAGTATTGACTGTCTTCATTATTTTATTCCAACATTACAGTATGTTAAATATTTTTTCTACAACTCAAGACCATATTGTTGGAAAGAACTAGTAAAACATAAAGTGTAGATTACATAGACCACAATAAAATAAATCTAAAAGTACTTTACATAAGGCAAACTAAAATTTGTGAAGTTGACAAGATCTAAGATGTTTATTTCTAAAGTGTATTTCCCTGGCCAGGCCTGATGGCACTCAACAGGCTGAGGCAAGAGGATGATGATTTCAAGCCCAATCTAGGTTACACAGTGAGATCCCATCTCAAAAACAAAAACAACAACAAAAATCAAGTGCACTCAATCCCTGTACTCAACAGACAGAAGCAGGAAGAGCTCTGTGAGTTCCAGACCAGCCAGGGCTACATAGTGAGGCCCTGTCTCAAAAAATATATACTAAGATATTTTTTGTAAAGTGTACTATCTCACAAAGTCCAATAGGACAGAGTGGGAATGTCAGTTCTCAAACTGTACTTAAAAATACAGACCTTGGACCAGAGAGATGGCGGGCTAAAGCACTTGCTGGGAGATGCGAGTTCCATTCCCAGAACCCAAAAGAGTAAAGGCTCTCCTCAACAAAGTTGTGCTCTGACCTCCACATGTATACTCCCCACACAAATCAAATCATATACACACAATAATAATGATAATAAGATTTAAAAAATAGAAACCTTAAATAAAAGATTCTACGGTGGGACTCCTAAATAAAAAATGCTACCACATAAAACTTTCTTTTCTCATTTAAGAAGAGAGTTATTTAAAGGTTTTGAATATTGACTAACATAATAAAATACCTAAGTACAAGGTTAACTCTAAGATGTGAATCATAGCTGGGCATGGTTATACACGCCTTTAATCCCAGCACTTGGCAGAGGCAGAGAGATCTTTGTGAGTTCAAGGCCAGCCTGGTCTAGATAGTGAGTTCCAAGCCAGCTGGAGCTACAGGGAGACCCTGCCTCAAAGAGACAAAAAAAAAAAAAAAAGTGACTCATGACAGCAGCAAGTGACACTTGCACTAAGCCTCACAGTACATCTGGACTTTACTGCCAAGCAGCAGAGCCATGGTGCTTAACGTGCAAGACTCATACTTAACATCTGTCACAACTGCTTAGACTAATCATACCCATGAAATGAGAATTCATGGCTGAGTTTCAGAAAAAAAAATATCCAGTGTACATTAGCCATTTAGATAGTTTAAATAACAAAACATTGTACTATAGCCCATTTGTATAATAAAGATTTGAAACTACATTTAAAAAAACCCACCAGGCATGGTGGTACACGTCTTTAATCCCACACTCAGGAGGCAGAGATAGGTAGATCCCTGAGAGATCATGCCCAGCCTGGTCTACATAGGGAGTTCCAGGCCAAGTGGGGCTATAGGGAGACCCTGCCTTAAACAAAAAACAAAAACAAAGCAAAACAAACAATAAAAAAAAAAACACCTTCAAAGGAGAAATAATGAATCCTTTTTTT